GTCCTTAGGATTCATTGCCAGATAGTTTATTTTGCATCATCTGGGGCCATCTCCAATTGTCCTGATTTATATCTTGCCACTGGACCCAGATGGCTCCAGAGGACAGAGTGAGACTGTTGCACAGCCCTCCTTCACTTAAATCCAATTCACTTACAAGTCATGACAAATCCTTCCTGATGTCATGGTCCTTTTTGAAAATGAAGGATAAATAACAATTTTGCACATGAACATTGTAATTATTCCTATGGAACCATGCTAATATTTAGCATTCATTTTCAGTCAATTGCCATCACTTATAAATGTCTTTTAAAATGCTCTATTCATTAATCTTCCACTTCTGCAACTTAACTATTTCAGGCAGCCAGGTGCCCCAAGAGATAGAACACTGGGCCTAGGGACTAGAAGACCTGAGTTCAATTGAGCCTCATACACTTACTAGTTGTGTGACCCTGGGCAAATCACCACCTGTTTTGCCTTAGTTTCTCTAACTCTACAATTGCGATAATAATAGCACCTACCTCCCAGGGTGGTTATGAAGATCAAATGAGATAATAATTAAGAAACACAGCACAGAGTTTGGTATGTATTAAGCATTATAAAAATATTAGCTATTATTGTTATTATTACTACTCCATCAGGCTGAGTGGTCTTTAATATACTCCTGACCACATATTTCTTCTTTTTCCTTGTAGGGATACCAAGATATGCCCCACTACGTATTTCTCTTTAGGTTCACAGAAGGTCAAGAAGTTGAGGATAATATCTGGGTGAATGATGGTATCCTCAACAGTGAAAAGGAATTCCAGATGAGGATATAGGCTTAAGGCAAAAGATGAGTTCAATTTTAGACATGTTGAGTTTGAGATTCCTATTCAACTTCCAGTTCAAGATGTTCAATGGGCATTTAATGATGTGGGACTATAGTTGAGGAGAAAGACTAGGGCTGGATACATAGATCTGAGAATCAATTGCATAGGTGTGATAATTAAACTCATGAGAGGTAATGAAATAAGGTATAGAAAGGTAAGAGTAGCCAAAACAGATCTTTGAGAGATACCTACCATTAATGGTCATGTGATGGATGAAGATTTACCCAAAGGAGACTTAGTTGTGACTAGACAGGTAGGTGAAGAATCAAGAGAGAATAGTGTTACAAAAATCCAGAGAAAATATCCAGGAGAAAGTGATCAATAATGTCAATCAGGAAGTCAAGAAGATTGAGGATTAAGAAAAGGCCATTGGATTTGGTCATGAAGGCTTTTGGTAACTTTGGAGACATGATGAGGTTGGAAACCAAATTGCTGAGGTTTTAGAAGAGAGAGGACAGCAAATGGAGGCAGCTAGTGCAAATGACTGTTTTGAGCAAATAAACTGAGAAATGGAGAGAGATGGTTTAAGAGCTAGTAGGGCTGGTAGGATGCACATGGGCATGTCTGTAGGCAACAGGAAGGGTCAGGTAGATAAGGAGAGACTGAAACTTGAATGATAATGAGCGAAATATGCTGAAGATGGGATCAAGAGTGCTGCATGCAGAGGGGTTAGATTTGGCAAGTAGAAAAGCTACCTCTACATTAGAGAATAAAGTGAAGTTGGAGATGGGATTGGAGGGTGTTGTTAGATGGATGAGAGATGAGAATAAGGAAAGAAGAAGGATCTTTGAGCAAAAGGGAGGCTTGAGGACAGAAGAAAACATAAGAAACAGCCACTGAGATGAATATGTTAGAGCATCAATTAAGGAGTAGAGGGGTTGCCTTGCTGTAGTATCTATTTGAAATCAAATAATATAAATTTGTAGTGTACCCAGTGAACAGAGCTTCATGATTTTTTGTAGCTAGTGAATAGGTCTAAAAGACCATTATGTTAGGGGTATTTCAGACTTGAGGTTTAGGGAGGGGGGAGAGAGAGAATAAGCATTTATATAGTACCTACTATATCAGACACTGTGCTAAGCACTTAAAACATTATATTTGTTAAGATGTGATCTGCAATAGTTCAAGGGGTAAGGCATTCAAAAGTAGAGAATGGGGTAGAGATAAACTAGTTAATTAAAACAGGGAAGAGAATGTAGCTAATATAAGAGTGATAGGAAAGTACTGAGGGTGGAGGAATTGGAGGCCATGGTAAGGATGAAGAACAGAGGCAGCAGGCATGAGGCATAGGAAAACGTGGATTGAAGAAAGGTTGTGATCAGATAAAGGAATTTCAAAGTTCATTAAGATGAAAGTAGAATACTTGTGATATGCTTGTGAATATGAGTGATGGTAAGATTAAAGGTATGTAATTTGAGGTTGAAGGAAGGATTTGAGTACATTGAAGAACTTGGAAGTTAGGATATTTGAGGGAATATCAATGTGCATCGTGGTAGGAGTTGAGATAGACTGGGTGACTGTGATCTAGGCACTAAACACACTGGGGAAGGAGGGAGAATGTCCTGTTGGCTGGTAGATAATAGCCACCATGATTTGGTTTGGGTGATAGCTTGGATTGGGTAGCTTTGGATTGGATAGCTTGAACCAAGTGAGCCTGCTGAATGATGGCAGTAAAGAGACAGTGTAGAAGTGACAATGGAGAGCAAGAAGGAGTCAGACTCATTAACTATAACCAGTGAATATGTGGGGCTTGGGTGCAGTCAGTACTAGAAAGGCTGGACAGGGATGCAAGGTAGTCAGAAGGGAAGCGGATCTTAGTGAATGCTAGAAATAAGAATGAATGAGACATAAAGCTTTCAACTGAGAAAGAAAAAAAGAATATGCATACATAGCAGATATTCCAAAAGGCATAGCAGAAATGGAAGCTACTCTTGGATCAGGTCTACCATAATTTGCCAACTCCTGCCTTCTACATAGACTCTCCTAGGCCAATCTTCAGAGTCTCTAAGATGTGGGTTCCATTATTGCCTCTGAATCAAACTAGATTGGTCAAGTCATACTTCTCAATGCCCTCAATAGCTCTCTAAAAGCCTAAGTCAGAGGACAGCTGCTCAACTCTTATCAGTAAAGGGAGTTCTTATGCTGGAAATTCTCCACAATAGTGACATTATATGTCCAGATTAAAAAACGCGGGGAAAAAACCCACTAAGACAAAAACAAAAACAAAAAATAGCAAGCAAGGGTCATTTAGCATGAGGAGATAAAGCTAGAGGTTACTCAGTAAACACTTCAATCCCTATATTCTAGAACTGCATTTTTTTTTAACAAATCATATTACAATGACAATCCTATTCATCAAAAGAACTAAATTATATTCAGCATTCTGGGATTTACTAGTGTAGTACTACTTAGATCTGATTTTGTTTGTTTTTTTAATCAGTATGGTTACTATCGAGAGCACTGGAATGTCAAAACATTTGTCTGCCTCCAAACATTGTCTTATTCCATACCCTGCTAGACTAGCTTTATGAGTTTTGGTGGCTGAAACCAATTCATTACCTGGTGGTCCACCTTCTGGCAGTCAATCTCTCCAAACTTATCTAATCCATTTCTTGAAGGACAGAAATGCACTCTGTTGCTGGTTGCACACTTTATTGCCTTTCTAGTTTGGGAGTAAGACTTGCTAGTACTTGTCTCTGTTGGCATAACCTCTGGGAACCTAGGTCAAACTTCATCTGAAATGGCACATCAATATAATATTTCATTGGAGCTGTCAGGCACATTTTAGAAATTGTTCATGAAAATAATTAACATTAAAATTATGACATGATTATCTTGAAAAACAATTTTTTTGTCCTCAGTTGTTTCTGGAAAAAGCGTTACTTGATATATACAGAAAAGAAAAAAAATAATAAATATAAAACTTATTTAAAGACTCATGCACTGACCAGATATTTAATAATAATTGGTAAGGACAGTGTTGAGGTAGGTGCTTAAGTTATAAAAAAGTAGATAGTTTTTATATTTCTTTTCCAATTATGTTCTTATGTATGTGTGTCTGTGGGCATGCACATACATTTGTTGTTGTTTTGGAAGGTTTTGGGGGGACAGTAGCAGTGTTTTAAAAAATTGACACTCAGAAAACTACTCCATAGTATCTTTAATTCATTTGAACAGAAAATGATCAAGTACTTTCAACGTGCAATGCTCCAGGCTAGCTACTGAAGAGGATAGAAAGGTAAATAAGTTACAACACTATTATCCACCTCCCAACCCAACCCAACCTACAACTTTATTTTCCCCTGAGCTCTGAAAAAAGATAGGATCTTAACAGGTGTAGGTGGGGTATATATGTGGGGGGTGAGTGGGTGGGTAAAAGTATTCTAGGTACAGAAGCAAAGTCATGGAAATAGGAAAGCATGGAATATTATCAAGAACTGGTAAATAATTCAGTATGGTGGAAGTCAGAAATTGAAATAAAGCTAAAAAGATATGATGGAACCAGACTGAAGGGTATTTATTTAATTCCAGTCTAAGGGGCTGCTATTTTATTCAGTAAACAATGAATGACTTGAATGAAGGAAAATGATTAATGAATTTTGCACCAAGTGAATGATGTAACCAAAAGAGCACAGATTTAGAGTTAGGAGGAACATTAGAGGCCATTTACTGCCACATTCCTCCCTGTTAACTCCTCCTCCTCCTCCTCCTCCTCATTTTACAGATGAAGAACTGGGGCCAAGAGAGAGTAAGTGACTTTTCCAATAGCTAGGAAGTGTCTGTAGGTTGGATTTGAATCCAGGTCTTCCTGACTCCAAGTCCAGCAATCTACTCTGCCATGATGTCTCACCAGAGTTGAGAATAAGTAAGATTCATTTGGTGCATGTTTGGAGCAATGAGAGTAGAGGCAGGTTGATTATGTGAGGAGGCCTCTGTAATAATCAAGTCTGGGGTGTTAAGGTCCTTAACTGTATTGGGAATGGGAAGGGCAAATGTCAATCAGACATGATAATTGATGTTAATGGATTCAATGTCGGATAAAGGAGAGGAAGAAGTAAAAAAAAAAAGATGACTTGGAGATGTTGAGTAAAAGGTAACTTTTCAAAATGTCACATATGGAACACAGACACATTTTGAAGAAAATACTATTTATTCTGGCAATATACAACTCATACACATTTTGGTATAGAAGGGTGATAAAAAATAATAGGGCAAACAAGCATCCAGTTGCATAAAAGTCTGATTTCTTCTCCAGATGCTTTTGACTTGATATTGAATTCTCAGTGCAGCATTAAGGAGCCATCAGGTTATATAATTTAAATAGAACAACAAAGTAATGTGCTTGAAATGAATTTTAGTGATTTTAGAAATGAAACAGTGCCTCCAGTCACTTCTATGCAGTGTATGTAGAAGTTTACCTTTTTGAAAGACACCGCCCCCCCCCCCTTTTTTCCATTGACAATGTCAGAATCACAAATTGCAGAAAGCTCAGCCACACAGTCTGGGAACACCAGGCAGCATCTGTTTCAATAAACTGGCAAACAATTTGATCTGATATCACTTCTCTATAACGGAACCATTTTCAACTTGTGCATATCCTTGGGAAGAACTGCAATCACATTTAAACAGATTTTTAAAAGCCTATTTTTATAGAATTCTTAAGGCATAGTTACAAACAATTAAAAATTGGCATTTACAAAGCACTTTACAAGGCACTTCACATACAGTACAGCATTCAACTCTTACAGCAACATAGAAGAAAAATAAAGGGGGTGATGTTTGAAGGGGTGGGAGGTGACCCTTGTAAAACTTCAGTTCCGGAACAACTTGGGATACTTCAGATACTCTGGAAAGCATTTTTAAAAAAAAGAGGCCAACTTCAAAACAGATCATACTCAACATGCCTTCATACTTAAAAGCAAAAACTAAACTAAAATATAATGATTATGAATAGCAGTTCATGTGGATTGATTTTTTCCTTCTTACCTATCGTGGTTTCTGCCACAGAGGTTCCCAAACCGTTGTGAATACTTAGTAAACTGTCCTGCAGTTTCTCTTCCTTTTACAATTCATTTCCAATGAAAGAGCAGCTCTCTCCCTTCCTTGAGTACTATCTGCTGCCTGAAGCATTTATTTATCTTGCCACCATTGCAGGAAAATGATGGCACAATAAATCATGGAGTACTGCATCAGGTTCTGTACTGGCCAAAGAGTATGATCATTCTTTGATGACATTTCCATACAGATGAACTCCGGACATTTAAAAGACAAATGAATAACAATAAGAAGGAGAATGCCAGAAAAGAAAAATAGTTGGCTGTACAGATGCTTTCCAACTTAAAAGCTGACATCATCCATAAAGATCACAGATCTAGAGCAGAAAGGTACATCAATGCTCATTGAAACCTGACCCTTTCATGTTTACAGACCAGTAAACTCAGGGCTGGGAGTTTAAGTGACTTGTCCAAGGTCACACAATTAGTGTCACAGGTATGATTTGAACCTTAGTCCTCGTACTTCCTCCAGGCTTGAAAATTAGGGGATAAAGGTGTTATCTTGCCATAATCCAGGATTAAATTAGGAGCAAATCATACTCAGTGTCCAGTTCAATAGGGTAGAAGGGAACAAGTATTTATTAAGCACCTACTATGTGCCAGGCTTTATGCTAAGTGCTTTACATATATTATCTCATTTGATCTAGAATGGAGAGGGGCTTCAATATCTTTATACTGAGATACAGAAAAACTGTCTTTATCATAGTTTCTTAGATGACCATACTTTAATTTAACAGAAGACCAACAACAACGTGGTGAAAAATTGACTTTGAGCAAGTCACATAAGCTTTAAGTGCCCTAGTTTCCTAACTGGTAAAATTCGAGGGTTAGGCTAGATGAATGCTAATGCCCCTTCCAGCTCTGTGACCCAGCACCTTTCAAATGAAATATCAGCATTCAAATAATAATATTACATCTCATTCTTTAGTTTTACCTGATGGGGAAGGGGAACCTTAATGTTTTTGTGCTTTACAGACATACATACATGCATACATATGCATATACAGTGCATATGCATATACATGTATATATATACATTATATATATATATATATATTCCTTACCAGACTATAAACTGATGAGCAAGCCTTTAAAGGAGCATAAAATATATTGTGCCTATTGACTATGTAAAAGCAATTACACACACGTGCATTATATACACATAATGTGTCTGTGTGCATATCTGTATATACATACATGTGTGTACATACATATACGCACATATATTATCTGTCTAGGCATGTGTATATCTCCCTATACTTGTCTATACAGGGATGGATATAGATATAGATATGTGGGTACCCACACACGTACACACAGATTATAGCTATTGCTCTTATATAATCAATGAATATAATAGAATCTGTGCTCCTTTCAAGGCTTGCTTATTAGTTTGTTGTCTAATGAATGGCCTTTCAAGCCAGCTATAAAGAACAAAAGTTTAGTGAATGTAATCTATGGCTTATTTCACTCAAAACACTACGAAAAGGGACCCAAGTTTACAATTAAGCTACTGTAGTGATCTAAATACCATTCACTGGAAAATACAGAAAAAGTGCTAGATTCACTTCTGCTTCACACTGCCACACCAAGTCCCATTAACAGCTTCTAGTCACTACTGACCTGAAGCAGACCCCAAGTAGCTTCTGTTACACCACAGTCCTTGTTTCTAAGAATCTGTGAAATCCTTTTCTTCTTTTCAAGGACTGATTCAGATTAAGCCACTAAATGATAACCATTAATTACACAATATCATGCCCTTCAAGGCTTTAGCTCTGTAAACCTAAAATCATGCAGCAACCCAACACACAAAGTTTCTCAAAGTGCAATATCTATCAAATTCAATGAAATCATTTTGGGGAAAAAAAACACACATCATATACTAAATACAGTGCATCATGAGGCCTCTGTTTTCAGAGGATTCCTCTTTTAATCAACATCTCTAATAACCGTCACTACTTAAAATAGGCAGAGTCCTCAGAGGAAACGTCTGACTGTACAAAAGTGAATGATTCCATTATAACTTTACATTAATCTATATTCACAACAGTAAATCTTACCATACTCATTTAATGGTACCACATATACACATACTTTGTATTAAACTTCTCGGCATTTTGTAGTAATTACAAACATGGAGCCTTGTCTTGGCTATTCTGTGCATTACCAATGAACCTATTATACACTGTTTAAGGAAACCAATTTTTCCTTTTGGTCAAATCCCCACTATGGATCTTTCGGGAGGGTTCTTGTTCTCTGTAGAACAACATTGAGTTCCTCAATCACTTTGGATGGTAATTTGTTATCAGCTTCCAAAGTAGATTTGCTATTTTTGTCCTCAATCTTCCTCAGAATCTTGAAGTCTTTATGTGATTTGTGATGACTGTGAAGAATATCAGCACCTGAGTCCTCCAGACAGTTCAAACTCCGGTGTTTTTTAGTCCGGTTTCGGAGTTTGTCCTCCTTGCGTTCCAGGCAATGTGCCACCATGGAGGCTCGCTCTCTTAGACTAGTTTCCATTTGCTCTTTTTCCTGCTTTTCAGGAGGCTTCAGCTTTTCAAGTCCTGCTTTTGCATTCTAAATGAAACAAAGTAGTTCACATGAAAGCAATTCGCAATCACACAACTGTATCTTGTGATTTCAGTTCATTAGTTTCATATGAGAAATTTAAGAATCAATTCTACCTAAGAGACAGGGTTTTATAGTAAGTAATGGTTTGTAATTTCTATGATTTAAATTCAGGACATTAACAAAATCTTTGGCTATTTTGAAAGAGTAGCATGAGTAAAAGTTATATGAATTAATCTTAGAGCAACTGTGTTGCATTTAAAAAATACTGACACTAAACTCTTCATCCCCGTCTTTAGGTTTCTTCAAAATACCTCATTTAAGTATGCTGTACTTATTGTGATTTATAGTATATGTATTTTAAAATAATTTAAAAATCATGTGTTTCCAATTTACATTAACTTTTTACTTCAATTTGACCAATATTTACTGAGACTTACTATATGCAAAGTTCTGTCCTAGGTCCTGAAATGTAAATAGTATCTTTTTAAGTAGTACACCATCACATATATAAACAGTCATAGTAATCTATACAAGTCTAAATGTAAAAATATCATGCACATTTCTATCTGAGTATATAAAGCTATTTTTTTCTTTTTAGAGACAAGATTTCTTTCAAAATGTGAATACTGTAAGAGTCACTTTAGAGCTCAAACTTACCATTACTGATAACAAGAGTTTACTTTACACAGCACATGAAACTTTAAAAAGTGCTTTACATTTTTAATTGCATATGATTCTTATAACCATCATGTAAGTTCAAGCACAGGCAGTCTTATTTGAACCTTAGCCCAGCTAAAGAATCTGAAGGTTGAAACAACACACATACAGTAAGGGGTAGATTTAAGATTCAAATCTAGGTCTTCTGACTCCATCCAGTCTTCTAGTAAAGCAAAAATTTTATAAACTTTTCAGTGTGTCACAAAAGTCCCATACAAAAGCCTCAATATGGTTCAGGGCTGACCCCAGGTTCTCAAATGCTATGCTGGTAAAGTACAAGCTTGGGCAGATTCTAACATACTGGAAAAAAGACCTTTCCAACTACAGGCATAATTACAAACTACGTGTGTTTTCCAAAGGTCAACCTAGTAAGTATTAAGTCATGGCTAGTAGACAATTCACTAGTTAATGAATTATTTGGCCATGGTCACCCATAATTTAAAATCAATAATAATAATAATAATAATAATAATAATAAAATGACATATTTAAACTTTCCTGCCCTTCTGCCTGCTCATTTAGGGTGGTGACAGAATGGCAGAAATGAGGGCAAACCATGCTAAATATGACAAGGTGTTTAGATTATCTAGAAACATGAGATCAATTTTGATGAATGATAAGTAGACATAATACTAGAGGAAAGAAACCACATTCACAATGACATGATCATTTTAAATGAAATCAAAAGATAATGAGGAAGTTTCAGTTAAATGGAAGGTTGACTCATAGATTCTCCTTAGAAAGGCAGAGGCGGAAAAAAAAAAGAGTTGGCAGAGATGGTTTCAGTATGTGTTCCATGGCAACAAGAAAGACTTGGTCACCTCAAATTGCTGTGCTCCTGTCAATCATTATTCATGTGAATTAAACTACTCAGAAGACTTCATATTGTGAATATTGTTTTCAAGAAGCTAGGCAGAAGATGTGTTGTGTGACGAGTACCACACCTGCCCAAATCATAAAAAACAAAACTTTAACAGAAAGGAAACAAATATCTATTAAAGTGGGGTCATTTCTCAATCAGTTGTCTATATGCAACAACTAGTTAGAACAAAGGCCAAATAGAATCCCAAAGTGGAGGAATGTGAAAAGATAGAGCATAGGTATTATATGAATTCACAAATGCTCTAATCTGTATTATTTAAATTCTTAAGTGACACTGAAAAAGTGGGAAGCAGATAAAAGAAGGTATTAATTCCTACTGCCATAATTTCCCTACCAAATTTTAATTGATACACAGTAATCTGCACCGAGGACTAAAGAGCTTAGAAAACACATTAGTCAACCAATTAGTCTTAGACAAGTAAAATGAAGAAGTATGGCAACAAAGGGTAGCACTGATTTTTAACATAAACTTATCTACAAAATAGTATGGGCCAGCATCATGAAAGATTGGGAGCAATATTGATGAAGATTTGAGAAAAGACTAAAAAGCTTTTGCAAATGATTTTCCATAGTAGACTATATTATATATTCAGAATCACAGAATGGACTATGTGGTACAAGGAACAACATTTCACTCTACTCAGTGTTTGTTGTCTGAACTACATAAAAGAGGGAAATATGTTCACCAAAAATATCTGTAGTGGAGGTCTTGTACGGAGTCCATTATGAATAAAGATTTTCTATAGAGAATGAGGTATTCATCAAACTCCAGAATTCTATAAATTCAACAGATATGGGATCACTCAAAAGACATTGGTGCAATACTCTACACAGAAAAAACCAAGTGGATGAAAAATGCTTATTACACAGACTATGGCATGCAATTGGTTGGGAATTCCACTGAGTTTGTTCACATGTGTTTAGGGACAGATAAACACACACACACACACACACACACACACACGCACACACATATCCTGGAAAGGTTCTGAAGACAGACAATGAACTGAGCTCAGAAGTGAGTAAGAGGAATAGTATAGGCTGAAATGCTTTTAGGAAACTCTGTAATGGTCCCAAACTCTCTCTAAAACAAAAATTAAACTTTATAAAAAAATCTATTTTTAAGGTGATGTTTATATGGTTGTGAATGATGAAAAAATAATCTGTGAAGTATCAAAATTGTTGATAAGCAAAAGGACAATGGTGAGAAATGTAAGGCATACATACACACTAGTAATGATGCCTTGATGTAAGAAGTGGCATAAAAGGTATTATCTCCTATATTTTTAAACACAAAAATGAACAGAACAGTCATGGAGAAAGAGTCGGGGCTAACAGTTGTAAATCTCAAGTGCTGTACTAGTTCCCACAGAATGTTAAAAGACCTAGAGGAGAGCCTTGCAAACCTCAGGAGGATCTTCTATAAGGGGATTTATGGGAGCATATGTTTATCTCAATTAAGATATTCATGCATGTATGAGGCTCAGGAGGTTTAGAAATTTCAGCAGTCTGTGAACTTCTACACTGTAACTAAATCCTATGTAACAACGATTTAATCCATGTTTTATTCTCCAGCTGGAAAGGAGGAAAAAAAACCTGCCTTCATGAAAGATACCAATGCTTCTTTGTTGATGCCCAGGGGCCATCTTTCAGGTCACTAACTTAGCTGAGAAATACCATTAGTTCCCAAAGCACTGAAACTTGAGTAGGTCACTGTAAAGTGTATAAAAGTGTTACCCACATCTGTAGACTGATTTCTTTACAAGGGAAACTGTTTTAAAACCTAATTTCTGGTTGTAATATTTTAGCAACAGAATTCCTGAAAGAGTATTTGAGATCACCTAGCTACTTTAGAGATAAAGAATAGCATGGTATAAGGTATGTGATTAATGATATTAAAACATAGCCTAATTATCTCAAGAATTAAAAAAATAAATTCAAAATGGTAATATTCACTAAATTGTCAACCAGGTTCTTTGTAAAATGTTATAGTTACAGAGAAGGAATGGGTTCTGTGATGTACTGGAACGGACCTCAGGTTTAAAGTCCCAGCTCTGCCTCGAGCTAGCAACCTTGGACAAGTCACTCGACCTCTAGGAACCTCAGCCTATTTAATATATGAAGAGAAGCATGGAAGAGAAAATCTCCACAATTCCCTTCCAGGTAGAGTAAAATCCTATGATTCTAGATCAAGATGAATGCAAATATTTCCTGACCATTCTTTTCACAGTGCAACATTTAAAACACTTATATTTAATATTTAAGTCAATGAGCTAAGTACCACTGTAAATTACACATTGCACAAGAAAAAAGAAATTTATGTTCTAATTCAATATAAAACATATTAAACCCCAACCTACCTCTATATTTCTTCTGGCTTGGTTAGTATTTTTCTCATGTTGGATGGGAATTAAAGGCAAACCGCCAACTTTGGGATTTTTGGTTATAGATCGCTTACGTTCTTTTCCAGCTGGTGGCCATATATCATTATCATGCTGTGGAGACACAATTTCTGGCTGTTGGCATGGGCTTGTATTATAATAGTATGTTATACGCACACCAATTGACTCACTCAACTCTTTTCCCTTATCTCCACATTAGATGATCTACTTTTTGTAAGAATGTTATTTGTAATTATTAGGTTGATGCCACAGCCCTGTTGCTGGAGGATCTCAGACTGTTAAGTGAACTGAGCTTTGAAGTCTCTGTTCAATTTCTAAGTTGCAAACATGGGCCTTCTATACTATTTATCAAAGCTAAAAAAAAATCTTTGGTGAATGGAAAAAAAATTCTGTGTAAGAAAAGGAGTATATCTATCTTAGATTTCTAGACCCCAGAATTAATGGAAATTTATTTTTATTCTTTCAACTAGGCCAAAGAAAAAGTTTTGGAAGTAAAGAATTTTTACCTTAAATATCCCCAATGGATATCAGATAAATGCTTTATTTACTTATAATCACTTAATATTTTTATTACTTAACTGTATTTTGTATAAACATTCTCATCTACTAATTAGAAAATTTTAAAAATCACTGTGAAAATCTAGTACATATTTCCATAAATTTATTGATTCCACACTGAACAATGCACTAATGAAAATAATTTTACATTTAAAATGTCACACTGTATTTAGACAAACAAAAGCTCTTAATATATTATGATATAATATGCAAATAACATCATATATTTAAATAATCCTTTTCCTTCATGAAAGAATCTAAATTTTTAGAACAAAAAGTATGGGATACGAAATTAACAATGGCACCCAACAAAAATATCTTTAAAGTGTACACTTCAAAATAGGTTCTTCTGAAAAGAGGATTATATGATAACTAAAGGCTAAATATTTATTCCTTATTTACATTTATTATTAAGAAAAGGCAATAGATTCTTACTCTTTATTATGATGAATATGGTGCTTATTTTAAGAAAAGTTGAGAAAAAATCTTAAAGTTTGTAAAGAACTTGATTAAATTTAATGTTTTCATAATGGGTCCCTTAAATTTTGGGTATTCATAATCTGTTACAAGCACAAACATTCAACTTCTCTTTCATAGACTGAATATGTACTCTTTCCCCTCATTTTCTTTAAACACTCAACTTACTTTAAATAAACCTACTACAACATGCTTATTTGAGGAACATTTTTAAATGCTATATTATTTTTATGGCTAGATACTCCTAACATGGAAAGCTTCCCCTGGGAACTCTTATAGAGTAATGATGACACTTTGGGGGCACTACCGTACACTAGAGGTGCTAAAAGATACCTTAAGAACCTATAAGAGTCAATGTCTTTTAAAAAGTACTTAATTCATTTCCAAGAAAAAAACAAACACTGACAAGACTTGGTAGATATGTTTCAATGGAATGAACTCAGAAGAAGAGCTAAAAGATATTAAATAGTAGCACTAAGAGTTTGCCTTGGTGTTAGGAAGACCTAGTTAAAATCCCAATTTTGTCACTCTTAACCAATTAATAACATTTATTAAGCATCTACTATGTACCAGATACCAAGTTAAGGAAACAAGTATAAAATAAAGTAATTCCTACTTGCAAGGAGCTAACATCCTAATGGGATAGACAAAAAGTACATATGTAACTAAATATAGAACAAGTATGACAAGAATAAACACAAACTAGTTAAATATAAGATAATCTGGGAGAGAGGACAAAAGCAGTTGAGGCTAGATCAAGAAAGGCTTCACAGAGAAGGTGGTACTTGATCTAAATCTTTAAGCAAGAGAAGCTGGGCAAATCATTCAAACTCTCTATGCCCCAGGTAACTCTCAAAGTCCATTCTGCAGAAGAGCTGCTGATCTGAATTGGTGTAGGAATTTCCTCATCAGGTGTGTATGCCACAGTGAGGATTCCTTTTGTAACTGGGTTGGATTAGATGGTCAGTGGGGTCCCTTCCAAACCTCAAATTCCATGATTCTGTGTGCTTTATACCAGTGAAATCACAGGTCTATAGGTAAAAGAAATTGCATATAGATAAATATGGATTTTTAAAGGTGACTTAAACATAGATTCTCTGAATATTATCATTTTTTCATTACAGTTAGGCATAGGCCAGAGTACCAGACTAGAACTTGTTTTAGACTTACATGATGGAAATATAATTCATATTTCTTTTTTAAATATGGGGGAACACCTTCACTGGGAAATGGAAGGTCCTAGACTAAGAAAAACTTCCAAAAGGTTAGTCTCTAGTCTTTTCCGTATGAATCTCACTTCAGCTAGTTACAGAGTAATGTTAAGACTAGCAATGTTTATTAGCCACCAGGAAAGGTAATAAATTAAATGAAGCAAAGAAAGTGGTTTTCAAAAGAAGTACCATCCAGAGCTGGGAGTGAATGACCTGACATGATTCTGAAGTCCTTTAAGAGGAATAGGAGATTACATCACCACTAATACAGAATGACACCTGAACTGTTGCCAATTAATTTCACTCATCTTGTGGACTGTGTGACTAGGAATGCAATTATGTAGTCAGAGAGGATCAGGGAAGAACCCATTTCTACTGATAAGGGTCTTTAATTCCTCTCCTAAAGAAGTGATCGTGTCATGAATAGGGTAAAAGGAGTATCTAAAGGAGTAGAAGTACTGTCATTTAAACTGTGTTACCAGGACCCTCAAGAGAAGGGTATGTGTGTGTGTGTGTGTGTATATATATATACATATATATATATATATATTTATTTATATATAGTTCTACTGGAACTGTGAAGTAGGAAATTATAAAAAAACCCTATATTTCTCTGTTTCCCTAAATTAAAATGCTGAAAATGACTAATCTCTACAGTGGGAGAGGAGTGAAAGAAGAAATAAAAGAAAGTTACATGATAACTTTATTATATATTTAAAAGGAATAGCATGTTGTACATAATATATTTGCAGTTTCATGTTCAATCATCTTTTTTTCTATTCTACTATGTTATAGAAATGCTTGTTTTATTTCTTAGGTTCAGAATTAATTTTTTTAAAAAGTGACTAACTTGAATTTTGCTGTTAAAAAGTGCTTTCCAAATACACACACATATATACACATACATATATATATACATATATATATATTTCATATGCCTCTTGAAAACAACTGTAGATTTAAAAAATTTTAAAGACCTTAAAAAGTTAAAGGAAAAAGCAATATTTTAAAGTCTATCTACTTTACTTTTCAGAAAGCTATAAAATAGAGGGGGAAAAAATCACAATGATCTGATTATGTAGCCAATCAGTATTCATACTACTTAGACAAGAAAGAGATAATAAGAGCATAAAGCTCTTCCCTTGATAGGAATAAACAGCTTTCTTATATGCTTAAGCTGTGTTTGTATTCAAAAATCATAATGGTAGGATTCTAGAAAGCCTGCCTACAATTTCAAAGAGAATCTGGAAAACTAAGAAGTACTAAAAACCTGAGAGCTAAGAAAGTCTTGATCATTCTTTGGGCCAATATATGTCAGTAATGTCTCCTGTATAAGTGAGAAAAGAATGGGAGGTACACTTAGTGGAAGAAAATCTAGGCTTTAAAGCAGAAAAAGAAAATGAATCTACCTCAGGTAATCAAAAGAAACTGTGGAATATATAGCCTATATGTAAAGATGGCAGCTGCCACCAAGGCTGTAAGAACACTATTATTAACAACAGGCCCAGTCATTTCATAGATGGTAATATGACTGGCAAGATGGTGGGATAGTTGTTTTCCTCAAGAAAAAGGAATTATGTACCAAATATGGAATAACAAAAGCTGAATCCGAAAGAGAAGCCAGAAACCTTATTCAAGGTTAAAAGAAAAAAATAAATAACATCAGAGAATTTAATAATTAGAGCTCCAACTCAGCATTCTCCATACCCCAAGCTCTGCATCCCAGACACAGTAAGTGAAAGCAATCTCCTAGGCTTGGGCTTTGGGGTATGGCTTTAGGGATTCCTACCCAACAATTCCATTGCAAAAACTCATCTTGAACCCAGCCTCATCCTATAGGAGGTGGGAGATATCAATTCTGTTCAGCTATAGGAAGCAAAAAGCTTTTATGCTCAAGGGAATGAGGAATGAAAATGCAGTTTTTACTCTAGTCAGAGGCATGGTTTGGGGCTCTCCCTACCTCCTTAATAAAATAGAAGCTGAGGATTCCCAAACTCAAGGGTTTGTAAGGTTGAAGAGGAAAACCAGAGAAAAGTTATAGGGAATAGAAGAGAAAGACTGAAAGAGTAAATAGGTAACAGAGAAAAGCCTGAATGAAAACTAACTCAGCAGATAAACCAGCATAAAGGCTTCTAGAAAAAAAAAATAATAGCCAACATTTTATAGCAGCTCTATGATTTGCAAAGAGCCTTCCATAGTATCTTAACTGATCCTCCTAACAACCCTGTGATATTAGTGTTATTATCTCCATTTTAGAGATAGAGAAACTGAGGCTGAGAAAAATTAAGTAATTCACCAATCACTACCCTGTTAATGTCTGATGTTGGATTTAAACTCAAGTCTTCCTGACTCCAGGCCCAGGGCTTTATCCATTGCACCATCTCGGTGTCTTAAAGAGTTCAAAACACTTATCACCAAGAACTATGAAGAAGTATACTGTGAAGAAAAATGAACCAAAACTTCCCACCCAAAAAGAGAATTCTGTAGACTACCCAAAAAGCAAGAAGAAATGGCAAGAAACTTATGAATGGTTTATGATAGATTTCCATGTGGGAATTCTGCACATTATGAGACTAATTTCTCTGGGGGAACGAAAAGAAAGATTTTACCCGGGGCTGCATCCAACGCATGGAAAAAGGACATTAATCCCCAATAGTAGTTAAAACAGCAAGCCGGGTGGTGGTATGGGGCTGGGAGTAAGGGAGTGAGGTTCAGGGATACAGAACCAGAAGGATAAGCTGGCCTTAGTGGTGAGTGATTATGGTACAGTACTGGATAGGACCAGGTATCATGACTAGGGATACAATGACTTCCACTCTGCAAAACTGCTTTAATTAAATACTGTTT